ATATGATGGCTTTTAATATAAGTATAGATTATATACAAAACATTGTAATTAATTAAAAATTTTAACTGGACACTTTTAAATAAATCACATAACATTGAGCAAAATAAGACAAATGAGACAAAAAATTGAAGTAAAATACTGGGCCTATTTTTTGAACATCAAGTCCATTAAAAAAAAAAAAAATTAGCCCAAAAGTGGCAATTGATAAAGCCCTATTAGGCTAAATTCGGACAGGCCCTTCATTCCAAAATAAGCAGATCGACGGCTTAGAGTAAAAAATTTCGACGGCTTAAAACGGAAGCTTTTTGCATACAACATAAAAGTTGAAAACTGACCAACATTATCTGCCGCAACACCTTCTTCCTCATGAATTTCGGACCGTTTTTTCTTTTTTTGAAAAATTCACCAAAAATAGCAATCTTAGTCTACTTTCCCAATTTTCAAAATGCTTGAAATCAATCTCGACCGGTATTTTTTGGAACAAATTATTTTTTTTCTTCAAAGATTTACCCTACAATCGATCCATTTTACAGTAAAGATCTGATGACTTTGGCAGCTTTGGGCCTCTGTTTCACATCAAGATAGCTCGAAGGAAGGCTCATCAAACATAAAGATCTCAGCATTCTGTATGGCTACAACAACTATTACAAATCTCTGAAGCTCCCGACATTGCAGTCCATAACCCGATTCAACTCAAGACCAATACCAAGTTCTTCTTTCATGTTTCTCTCATCTTTCTGGGAGAGAACTTGCCCAACATTACCCTGCACAGCTTTCGGGATGCGGTCCACATACTGGGGCTTGATAATTGCCTGGAAAAATGCACTGCGATAAGTTTGTAGCAGAATAGTTAACCAAAATACTAAATCGTCTAAGGCCATCTCCAACCGAAAAACTCAAACTCAAACCCATTTTGCAGTAGCTATCCCATTTTGCAGTAATTCATCTCCAACCGAAAAACTCATTCTCAAACCCAAAAGAATATTCCCAAAATATTCTCTTTTACACCAACTTTTATAACTATTCAATACTACCCACTTATTTTACAACTTTACAAATTAAACCACACTATGATTTTAAATTCAATTCTGACTTTATGTAATTAAAATTAATTATGCATAATAAAATCGGAGAAATAAATATTCATTAAAAATTAAAATTTCACCACACAAATAAAATTAAAAATTACAATTCACAAGATCAAAAATTAAAATTTACAACACACAAGATGAAAAATTAAAAATTGCAACACATATGAAAATTAGAAATTACAACACGCAAAATGAAAATTTAAATATTACAACACACAAGATAAAATAAAAAATTACAACAATAACGTAAAAATAGATAGTCTTTCAAGTCTCGGAGTTGGTGAATTCTTCCTATAAATGATCAATTAATGCATTCCGAAGCGCAACACTGTTCATCGACTCCATAATTATTTTATTTTTTTTTATTATTTTTTTTTTGTGTATTATTATTTGTAAATTTTTTATAATGTGTATTAGTAAATGTATTTTTTATGCTAAATAATTTGTGTAATGTACTTTCTATGTTAACTATTTTGTGCTTTTTATTTATTGATGTATTATAATTTTATTTTGCAATTTTTTAATATTAAAATGATACCATATGAATAAAAAAAAATTTATCCTACATTTATATTTTAACTACATCTTCATTTCAGAAGTGAAGAAGATACATATACATCTATGTACCGATTGAATCAAAACTGTTATTTTTTAAAATATATGATTTAGTGAAAAAATTTACACTCTATACCATATATGGTCTAACGCATATATTCACATTTTAAAAACTGTTACTTTTTTTCATTGTATTAGTGCAAATTTACACTCTAGACCATATATGGTCTAGCGCATATATTCACATTTTAAAAACTGTTACTTTATTTCATTGTATTAGTGCAAATTATAATATTATAAGATATATATAATATTATATTTAATTAAAATTAATTATACATAATAAAACCGGAGAAATAAATATTCATTAAAATATATAATATTATAAGATATATATTACATTTATTATTTAAATATTATAATATATAAAATTTATAGTCTTTCTAAAATATATTAATAAAATATAATATAAAATTAACTAAAATAATATTGTATTTCATATTATATTTCTTTTATGAAAAAAAATTAACAAATACAATATACATACATACAGTTATATATATAATATATATATATATATATATATATATATATAAAAGAATAGGGGTGCTTAGAATATAAATATAGAATAGAAGAACTTATATGTAATAATTAAAAGATAAAACGCAAATTTTGCAGCACAACGCAAATATGCGTTTCTAGAGGAGAGAGAGAGCCCCTTTACGCATTTTGCAGATCCGTTTCCAGGTGGAGAGAAATCTACTGCAAAATTTGAGTTTTGCGTCTCGATTGGAGACGGTCTAAACAACAATAGGCAAGCAAATAGAAAAGTCGCATATAAGGTTGGAATGGAGCAACGGTAATGAAATTGCATGTTCAAGTTCAATGTATTTAAAACAATGATACCAGTTATTTTAGACGAAAATATATCAATAATTGTGCCAAAAAAGGAACTAAATAATACAACGCTATCAATCAATAAGCCAGCTTGTGCTCAGGAAATTCATTTCTCAAATAATTAGTCAGACACATATACTTGATCAGATATATTATCATGGATTTATTAATCGAATTGGCCCCAAAAATGAGAAAAAAACCAAGACCAATGGCAATGGACACAATTTTTTTTTTTTTTGGCAATGGACACAATTTAAACCAACACAGTTTTCAAGCCACATTAATTAGATTTATTACTAAATGAAACACTACTTCATTCATGGCATACATGATTATCATTTAAATTTCAGGCTACTGTATTTCATCAAAGAACGAAATGTATCGGTTTTATCATTTCACCATATCTACAAGAACCACATCCTGCACAAACACCGAACAGTACCGGTTTTATATTTTCATCATATCCACAAGAACCAGGGGCGCAGCCAGGAATTTTTTTAACCTGGGGCTGCATATTATTGTAGCTATTATTGAAACCTTGTAGACATGGTCATGGGCCGACCCAGCATGTCGGTTCGGCCCAAACCGACACAAGCAGACTCGTTGACCATGGTCTTGAACAAACCCGTGGTTTTGACCAGTTCGGTTCATGTACAATACTTTATAGTTTATACATGTTGAACATGCAGTTTTGGTTCCGAACTGGAACCGGAACCCGAGGTTCCTTTTTTTTAAATATTATTCTAATTATTTTGTATTTTTTAATGAACCGGACGACCAGTAATCGACAATTCAATAAATCGACCCGTACATATGTTCGCGTCGGTTCATATATGTTCGCGTCGGTTCATGCTCCTCCAACTCTCGGCCCAATATCGACGGTTTTGGCCTGTAACTGGTTTTAGTTATGATTATAAACAAATTGTCTGCTAACATATGTCGGTTTGAATTGAAAAAACTCAATCTCGAATCGCTTATATATTTAAACAAGTCAAACTCAAATAGCTAATCGAACTTGTCGATCAAACAAATAAAGTTGAACATGTTTGCAATCAACTCTGTACGAGTTTTCTCTTTGTCTAGGAAATGATGTCAAATTAATTATTGGAGGCGAAAGAAAAAAATAAATGAAAATGGATAATGGATTGCGGAATGAGACGAATCGAATTAGATAGCCCGCTGGAAAAGTCTATGTCAAGCTTAATTATCCAGCTCATTTGATATTTGTCAAGTCAACCCATTAAAAATTTAAAGACAAGAGTGTGTTGGGCCACATTATAAACTCAATTGATAAAAATCTAATAAGGTCACAATTGTCATTTGACAATAAAGGATTATCTTTTTTCCTCACTATAATCATCATTTTTTCACCATTGTTGTCAAGATTACAAAATTTAACATGAAGATAATCTTGAGTCATTCAGCCCAAAAATTAAATGGGGCTATATAAAAAATTAAATGGGCTAATGGGTTTATGTATAATTTTTTTTAGAAAATAAGATTAACAAAAATAAGGGTAGCAAAAAATTACATGGGGCTGGAGCCCACCCTAGCATTAGGGTGGCTCCTCCCCTGACAAGAACCACATAAAATCGCACAAGACACAGTCAAAGTGCGTAAAAATCAAGGCACTTCTGCTCCTCACCCATGAACACCATGTTCATTCTCTGCTCCGCATAGATCGGCCACCCGATCATCGGCATTTGCGCATCACAGCCTCCAGGATGGAGCTCCGGCCGCAGTCGGTCACGAATCTGGCCACCGCGTGTTCCAGCACCACTCTATGTGGGGCCTACGACTTTATCACGAAAGTCTTCCCCTTCGTCTTCTCCAGAAACCCTTCGACAGCAATTTGCATATCAAACACATAAATTATTTCTCACGCAAATAAAAAATGGAGGCAAGAATCAAAATCCATTAATTAAACCAACCAATTGGCAATTGCAATTTGCACATCAAAACAAAAAAAATATATATAAAAAAAATAATAAATTTACCCTGACAAACCCACCGTACTTTATCATCTGCCGGAAGTCGTCAAAGTTGGCCCTCCCGTCGCCACCTAAGTCGATCTTGACTATCTATACTCCGGTACTTCTCCGGCATCTTCACATACTTCAGCATCAACGCAGCCAACACCGACCTCAGTTCATCTGCCGTGGTGAACCCACCCCGTCCCAATCGAAAACCTAAAACGACTCCCGCACGTCCTCTTCACGGCTGTCCGCCTCGTTCCCTCCACCGTCTGCCATCACCGCCGCGTATAGGGCGCTGAACTCCTCGACGTTATTGGCGTCAATCTTCCAATCATCGCCCCAGCTTCTTCTCCGGCACGCAGATCCCGAGATTTTGTAATGACTCGCTGAGCTCATCTCGTTTGATGTTGCCGTCGCCATTCATCGAGCTTGGAAAAGACCCGATGGAGCTTCGTCGTGCTCGTCTCCTCATGTGCAGCCCCAATTGGAGAATTGGTTGGATTTGATTTTGATGGTCATTTAAGTTTCACTCAACAATTTTGGGAGGTGATGGTGAGAATTATGAATCTGATTTTGATCGACCAATTTTTACCCTATAATATAAGTTATTGGAAGATATTTGGGATAATCTCGGATATAGAATTATGCCAAATAAATTTTATGGAAAAGATTTTAAATATTTTGAGATATACACATACTAAACTAACTTTGTAATAGTCAATAGTTTCTTTAAATATTAGAACTTAATATGGACCAAAAATTTTCAAAATATGTTCGAGCGGGATTTTCATAGAAATTTCAAAAAACTTACTTAGTTTAGTAAGTCTGAAATTTTTAGGCGGGATTTTTACTTCTATTTCAAGTAAATACCAAACCTTTTTATATTTATATAGATTTATACACTATTTAATTTTAGATTTATTTACAATAATTCATTTTTAAGATTGTTAGTGCAACTATTCATGTCCAGTCCATTGCTCGTGGGCTACATAATTCGTGGAGAAAATATATGCTTGAAAAAAATAGACAAGTGTAATTATACATACGTATTTCATGTTTATGAAGTATCAATTTTAAGTACGACATTCCAACTATTTTTTTCACTTTGAACTGCCAATTCATGCAGCTAATTGTGATAGGTAACAAAGGTCAAATAATTCTATAATTTTTAACTGATTGAGTCTTTTATTATATATAACTAATGACAAAAGGAAGAAAGTAAGAAAATAATCACAGGAAGCTTAACCAACAGGAAATGTAGCTCAATGGTTATATTTCAGACAAAATTTCTAAGAAATACGGGGTTCGACTCCCCGCTTCTCCAGAAATATTTTTTTTAATCACCAGGAAGCTTTATACAGGAATCAATAACCTTATATATATATATATAGATATATATATATATAATAAGAATAACCATTTACTAAAAATAGTAGTAAAAACTTTTAGAAGCATTTAATGCATACTAAACTTTTTAAATATATAGCATTAGTTGCTTCTATATAAAAAATTTTCAAATAAGATAAAATCAGATATGACCATAAATATTGTTCCCTAAAATATATTTATGAACATCTACAATAGTTCAATGATATCCATTTTAATAAATTCCAAAGACTGATTTTCTGTGATTCATGTTGATAATACTTTTGTCAAGATAAATATTAATACATATTTTAAGTTCTAACCGTAATATTAAACTTTTTTTTCACAATTATTCACTTTGTATCTAAAAAATATTTATAGCAAATTGTAATAAATTAGGTAGAATTCTTTCTTTTCAGTTAATCAGTCGGAATCAAGTTGGTGAATTTATATATGCCAATATAATTTTTTCTTAATCTTTATTTCATTATATGTAAAAAAATAAATTAATTTTCAAATTAATATAATTTACCATTTAAGTAATAATGACCAAATATATTAAATAGTTTTACTGTTGATCAAAATTTAAAATTGAAACATATTAACTATTTTTAGAATTTATTTGCATATTATTAGCAACCATGGATATGTTTTTTACCATTTTTTATTTTGATTACTTTCTATAATGAAATTATTGTATATATATTTTCATTGAAGAGTATGCTAAATAAACTATAAATCCTTATAATGCAAATTCGAAAAATTTTGATTATTGGAGCGATTGAGTTTTTGGCATTTCCTAAATCAAAGTTGTCTAATTAGTATACAACAATAAACTCTTAAAAACACGTGTGTATATTTTGTAAAATATTTATACACTATTTAATTTTTGACTTATTTACAATAATTCATCTTTAAAATTGTTAGTGCAACTGATCATGTCCAGTCCATTGCTCGTGGGCTCCATAATTCGTGGAGAAAATATATGCTTGAAGAAAATAGACAGTGTAATTATACATACGTATTTCATGTTTATGAAGTATCAATTTTAAGTATGACAATCCAATTATTTTTTCACTTTAAACCGCCAATGCATGCAGCTAATTGTGACTGGTAACAAAGGCCAAATTATTCTATAATTTTTAACTGATTGAGTCTTTTATTATATATAACTCCTGACAAAAGGAAGAAAGTAAGAAAATAATTAAAGGAAGTTTAACCTAAAAGAGATGTAGCTCAATGATTATATTTCAGATAAAATTTCTAAGAAATACGGGGTTCAACTCCCCGCATCTCCAAAAATATTTTTTTTAATTAACAGGAAATTTTATACTGGAATTAATAACCTTAAATCTATATATGTATATATATATATATAAAGAATAACCATTTCCTAAAAATAGTAGTAAAAACTTTTAGAATCATTTAATGCATACCCTTTTTTGGAAACTTTTTAAATACATGCATTAATTGCTTCTATATACACTTTCTCAAATAAGATCAGATCAGATCTGATCATAAATATTGTTTCCTTAAATAATTTTTATTAACATCTGCAATACTTCAATGATATCCATTTAATAAATTTTAATATTGATTTTCTGTGAGTCATGTTGATAATACTTTTGTCAAGATAAATATTAAAACATATTTTAAGTTCTAACCGTAATATTATTATTTTTTTCACAATTATTCACTTTGTATCTAAAAATATTTATAGCAAATTGTAATAGATTAGGTAGAATTCTTTCTTTTTGTTAATCAGTCGGAATCAAGTTGGTGAATTTATATTTGCCAATATAATTTTTTCTTAATCTTTCTTTTGTTATATGTAAAACATAAATTAAATTTTAAATTAATATAATTTACCATTTAAGAGATAATGACCAGATACATTAAATAATTTTACTATTGGTCAAATTTTAAAATTGAAACATATTAACTATTTCTTAGATTTTATTTGTATATTATTAGCAACCATGGATATTCTTTTTACCATATTTTAATTTTGATTTCTTTCTATAATGAAATTATTGTAAATATATTTTCATTGTAGAGTATGCTAAATAAATTATAAATCCTTATAATGCAAATTCAAAAAAATTTTTATTATTGAAGCGGTTCAGTTTTTGGCATTTCCTATCAAAGTTTTTTAACTAGTATACAAAAATAAATTCTAAAAAAAGACGTGTCTACATTTTGTAAAATATTTATATACTATTTAATTTTAGATTTATTTACAATAATTCATTTTTAAGATTGTTAGTGCAACTATTCATGTGCAGTCCATTGCTCGTGGGCTACATAATTCGTGGAGAAAATATATGCTTGAAGAAAATAGACAAGTGTAATTATTCATAATTATTTCATGTTTATGAAGTATCAATTTTAAGTACGACAATCCAACTATTTTTTCACTTTAAACTACCAATGCATGCAGCTAATTGTGACTGGTAACAAAGGCCAAATTATTCTATAATTTTAACTTATTGAGTCTTTTATTATATATAACTCCTGACAAAAGGAAGAAAGTAAGAAATAATTACAGGAAGCTTAACCAAAAGGAGATGTAGCTCAATGGTTATATTTCAGATGATATTTCTAAGAAATACAGGGTTCGACTCCCCGCATCTCCAAATGTATTTTTTTAATCATTAGGAAGCTTTATACTGGAATAAATAACCTTACATATATATATATATATATATATATATATATATAAAAATAACCATTTTTTAAAAATAGTAGTAAAAACTTTTATAAACATTTAATGCATACTCGTTTTTGGAAACTTTTTAAATATATGCATTAATTGCTTCTATATACACTCTTTCAAATAAGATCAAATTAGATATGATCATAAATATTGTTTTCTCAAATAAATTTTATTAACATCTACAATAATTCAATGATATCCATTTTAATAAATTCCAAGATTGATTTTATGTGATTCATGTTGATAATACTTTTGTCAAGATAAATATTAAAATATATTTTAAGTTCTAACCGTAATATTAAATTTTTTTCTTCAGAAATATTCACTTTTTATCTAAAAATATTTATAGCAAATTGTAATAGATTAGTTTGGATTCTTTCTTTTAATTAATCAGCCGGAATCAAGTTGGTCAATTAATATTTGCCAATATAATTTTTTTCTTAATCTTTATGTAAAAGATAAATTAATTTTCAAATTAATATAATTTTTCATTTAAGAGATAATGATCAGATATATTAAATAGTTTTACTATTGGTCAAAATTTAAAATTGAAACAGAAAAGTATTTATTAGAATTTATTTGTATATTGTTAGCAACCATGGATATTTTTTTTACCATTTTTTATTTTGATTTCTTTCTATAATAAAATTATTGTAAATATATTTTCATTGTTGAGTATGCTAAATAACTATAAATCCTTATAGTGCAAATTCAAAATTTTGATTATTGAAGCGATTGAGTTCTTTCCATTTATTAAATCAGAGTTGTCTAATTAGAATATAAAAGTAAATTCTAAAAAAAACATATGTGTATATTTTCTAAAATATATATACACTATTTAATCTTAGATTTATTTACAATAACTCATTTTTAAGATTCTTAGTGCAATTGATCATGTCCAGTCCATTGCTCGTGGGCTCCATAATTCTTGGAGAATATATGTGCTTGAAGAAAATAGACAAGTGTAATTATACATACGTATTTCATTTTATGAAGTATCAAATTTTAAGTACGATATTCCAGCTATTTTTTCACTTTAAACTGCCCATGCATACAACTAATTGTGACTGGTAACAAAGGCCAAATTATTCATAATTTTTAACTTAATGAGTCTTTTATGTTATATAACTCCTGACAAAAGGATAAAAGTAAGAAAATAATTACAGGAAGCTTAACCAAAAGGAAATGTAGCTCAATGGTTATATTTCAGATGAAATTTCTAAGAAATACGGGGTTCGACTCCCCGCATCTCCAAAAATATATATTTTTTTTAATTATCAGGAAACTTTATATTGGAATTTATAACCTTATATCTATATAAATATATATATATATACAC